GCCAGAAAGAAAGAAGTGCACGCCTGTTGGATCTGATCTGTACTTCGTGGACTGCAGACCTCTGAAGTACAGGGTTCAGAAGCCTTTAACTGGAGCCTTATGGGCACAACAGTAGGAAAGGGCAAGTACACAGATCCTGTACCAGGCGTGGGGCTGCAGTGCACTGGAGAAACTAATGTGACATGTGCCACATTGCATTGAAAGAAGTATGACATCCCTAGTATGTCACATATGAGTGTGGCCGTATTTTGGTCACCATAATGGTGTGACCTCCTGTGTTCTGTATATATTTTCTTAGCTGATAGTGTGCCTTACACTGAGGTCACAATACACGGTGTTACCAAAACTGGTCATACTAATTGATGTGACATGTCCCATTAGGTTTTCCAGTGTGTTGCGGGTTTGCCTACTCGCTTCTCCCGTGAGGCGACATCGCCATGGCACCCTGCGGCCCAAGAGGGAAGAGGGCGAGAGGGTATGCATTCCCGCAATCCTTGCAGCCACCTGTTATAGCCGCTTAGACGTAGCGCAGCAGGGGGCTGGGAACTCGCTTGCCCCGATCTGGTTGGAATAATCTGGCTGTCATAAGAGAAGAAGCCTGTAAAATCCAATTTGTCACGAATGGATGTGCGATCGCGACCTAGAACAGTACGTATTAAGATGACTATAGCAGACTCCGACTCCACGCGGCGTCTTCAGTAAGCTTTGTATAGCCCTGTCTAGCACGCACCCAGACTCGCATATGCTGGAGTTATCTGGTTGCCGATTCGATTGTTTTCTATTTCACTTCGATGCTGTGGTTTGTTTCCTGGCAGAAACTCATCCTGTTACTGATTTTTTAACTCCTTTGTTCGCATTACTCAGCCAGCCACTCACTCGGACACCACTCACCCAGCGCACAAAAATGTGATTTCTGGTTTTGCTCTTCTTAGTTCTCTTTCCTACTTACCGAGAGTTAAAGCTAGCTGACACCTCGGTCCCCTCTCCTCCTCACCTCTCACCCGTGCGCCCGCCGAGTCGAGGATAGGCAAACCCGCAACACGGCGGCGCGTGCTCTGAATCACCCGGTACTCCTGATTACCTCCAGGGGCGGCTGACAGGGGGGAGGAGGGGGGGGGTTGCCTACATACAGGGGTTTTGTAGCTCAAACTGACTACCTTTCAGACGGCTATCTAGGGCTAAGGCGCCTATGATTACCTCAGCTGGGCACCCCTCGCTCTCGGGGCTGTAAAGGGGTGGCTATCATATGGCTACCGACCGTAGGGTAGGCAAACGGGTATCTGTTTTGCAAAGCAATTCCTTCCCGTGTTTATAAAGCAGCCAAAACCTTTGCAATGCCAACAGATCCTTCGCAAGGAATTTTCAGAGTACGTTTCTGTACCGCCTGCGCGCGTTTTTCCGTGTTGTCTATCACCGAGAGACTTTCGTTCGAGACGATCAGCAAACCAGCCGCACCAACCGGCACGCCTATAGATGGCATACAAATTCCAACGGGGCCGTGCAACCATGCGTGGTAAATTACACATACACGTGTCCTTAGTCTCAAGGAGTTGTGTAATTTTATCACCGTATATGGATTGAGTTTGGGTCCAACGGGTCCGACGCAGCGGTGGCTAGCAAAGTTTTTTCCTGCCTCCTTTGTCGCTCGACTGTGCAGTGCAGTTGGTTGTGAACCCGGGGGCCGGGCCGGGGCGTGGTTGTGTTGCCTCGGGAGCTGACCGGAAGCGTAGGGCGTGATTTGCCAGGATCAGACTGGAGCCTCTCCCGAAAACCGAGTGTCTTCTATCTCTCTTGCTGTGGCTGCAGGGCTTAAACCGCTTTTAAACTAGTGCGAGTGGGACGAGTGGCGCTCGCGAGCATGCTCGCGGAAACTGTTTCCGTACGCGTCCTCGAGGCTGATTGTGTGCAGCCGCAGCATTGCTCTACCGAATGCAGTCGTGTATTTCGACACAAAGCTCGACAAAAATGAGGCTTCTTTTGCGTTTTTCTGAAGAGAGATACATTTGTAATGCAACCAGGGGCGCTCTGTTTTCTTTTTTTTAAAGTCAGACTGACGTGGTTGCAATTTGTTCGCAATAAAGCAGCCACAATCGTTCGCAAGGATTCTTCAGTGCACGGTGAGGGGGCTGCCTCCCTCCCGGTGTTTTCTCTCACAACAATACCGTGCATGGATGAAACGCATGGGCTCGCAGCAGCAGAGGATGTACTGGTAGCTCGTCACTGTAGTAGCGGTAGAGAGTTACAAGTTCACGGAAAAACGTTAGTACCCCGAGCGAAGTTTTATTTCATTTCCGCATAACCAACTGGTATTTGTTTCAGAAACCAACATTTAGTAGAGGGAACGACGCTATAGCGTGTATACACGGTCCTTCCGTGGACAAGACAAGGTTTCGTTCTCCCAACAACGACCTTGTTCCCTCGACTAATTATTGGTTGTGACGGTCATACTGGTTTCTTAGCTGAAATCATTTCGTTATCTGCGGAAATCAACTAACCTAATTCGGGGAATTAACATTTTTTGTGTAAATCCATCTACAGACAGAGGCACTGCAATTCATAAGTTTGTTTTGAGTAACAATGATAAATTATTCCAGAGAAGGCATTTCTGATTGTTTGTTACGATTTCTAGATCAGATTGCAGATGATTATGCTTACTTTGATTTTTCTCTCTTTTATTGTGCCGGATGCAGTAATAGTTTATTTGTCATAATGGGTAAAGGGTGGTCTACTGGTTCCTTTCTTCACTTTACTTATACTGTACCTCATGCAGACGTGCGGGCGGGCTTGCGTACCGTCGCTCACCGTGGCGCCTTACGGCCCCTTGCGAGTATGCAACCTGCCCGCACGCGTGCATGCTGTACAGTATAAGCAATTTAAGGAAATTGGCCCGTGAACCACTGTGTACTTATGAAACATTCATTGTAAAATGTAGTTGAATGTTGCCCTATAGCACGCAAGCAGCCTGACTCATTTTTCATTATTTTTCATTATTTTTTTATATTTCAATTTTGCCTGTTGATGTTTATTTGTGTTCTAGTTTTGCTGTGTTGCGCTTTTTCCTCAGTAGCAGCTTGTTGTTACAGCATGGCAGGTCAGACTCGTACCGTGTGGCTACAGTTCCCTCCATCCCCGACGACAACAAGACATTCGACGGATCAGCTAAGGTACAAGTATCGTTAAGTCCTTGCCCTTTCCCTCAATCCAGCCTTACGAGAGTTTCAGGCATTTCATTTGACCACGGCCACTCTCGCAGTGTTTGGTACCGCTGGAGAGCGATACTGAT